TGTGTGTGAGTGTGTGTGTGTTTGGCAGGGCAGATGCAGCAGAAGGCTTTAGTCACTCTTCTTCTTCTTCTTCTGTGGCTCAGTGTGTAGGCTCCGCCCCCTCACCATCGGGCCCTGACTTCGCCATTGTCTTTGAACATTAGTAATTTGTCAGTGTGAAGAAGAAGGAGAGACCAGAGAGACGAGAGAGAGACCGGACAGAGACCAGAGGGAGACCAGAGAGACCAGAGAGAGACCAGAGAGAGACCAGAGAGAGACCAGAGAGAGACCAGAGAGAGACCAGAGAGAGACCAGAGAGAGACCAGAGAGAGACCAGAGAGAGACCAGAGAGAGACCAGAGAGAGACCAGAGAGAGACCAGAGAGAGACCAGAGAGAGACCAGAGAGAGACCAGAGAGAGACCAGAGAGAGACCAGAGGGAGACCAGAGAGAGACCAGAGGGAGACCAGAGGGAGACCAGACAGAGACCAGAGAGAGACCAGAGAGAGACCAGAGAGACCAGAGAGAGACCAGAGAGAGACCAGAGAGAGACCAGAAAGAGACCAGAGAGAGACCAGAGAGAGACCAGAGAGAGACCAGAGAGAGACCAGAGAGAGACCAGAGAGAGACCAGAGAGAGACCAAGAGAGACCAGAGAGAGACCAGAGAGAGACCAGAGAGACGAGAGAGAGACCGGACAGAGACCAGAGGGAGACCAGAGAGACCAGAGAGACCAGAGAGACCAGAGAGACCAGAGAGAGACCAGAGAGAGACCAGAGAGAGACCAGAGAGAGACCAGAGAGAGACCAGAGAGAGACCAGAGAGAGACCAGAGAGAGACCAGAGAGAGACCAGAGAGAGACCAGAGAGAGACCAGAGGGAGACCAGAGAGAGTTCAGAGAGAGACCAGAGGGAGACCAGAGAGACGAGAGAGAGACCGGACAGAGACCAGAGGGAGACCAGAGAGAGACCAGAGGGAGACCAGAGGGAGACCAGAGAGAGACCAGAGAGAGACCAGAGAGAGACCAGAGGGAGACCAGAGAGAGTTCAGAGAGAGACCAGAGGGAGACCAGAGAGACGAGAGAGAGACCGGACAGAGACCAGAGGGAGACCAGAGAGACCAGAGAGACCAGAGAGAGACCAGAGAGAGACCAGAGAGAGACCAGAGAGAGACCAGAGAGAGACCAGAGAGAGACCAGAGAGAGACCAGAGAGAGACCAGAGAGAGACCAGAGAGAGACCAGAGAGAGACCAGAGAGAGACCAGAGAGAGACCAGAGAGAGACCAGAGGGAGACCAGAGAGAGTTCAGAGAGAGACCAGAGGGAGACCAGAGAGACGAGAGAGAGACCGGACAGAGACCAGAGGGAGACCAGAGAGACCAGAGAGACCAGAGAGACCAGAGAGAGACCAGAGAGAGACCAGAGAGAGACCAGAAAGAGACCAGAGAGAGACCAGAGAGAGACCAGAGAGAGACCAGAGAGAGACCAGAGAGAGACCAGAGAGAGACCAGAGAGAGACCAGAGAGAGACCAGAGAGAGACCAGAGAGAGACCAGAGAGAGACCAGAGAGAGACCAGAGAGAGACCAGAGAGACGAGAGAGAGACCGGACAGAGACCAGAGGGAGACCAGAGAGACCAGAGAGACCAGAGAGACCAGAGAGACCAGAGAGAGACCAGAGAGAGACCAGAGAGAGACCAGAGAGAGACCAGAGAGAGACCAGAGAGAGACCAGAGAGAGACCAGAGAGAGACCAGAGAGAGACCAGAGAGAGACCAGAGGGAGACCAGAGAGAGTTCAGAGAGAGACCAGAGGGAGACCAGAGAGACGAGAGAGAGACCGGACAGAGACCAGAGGGAGACCAGAGAGAGACCAGAGGGAGACCAGAGGGAGACCAGAGAGAGACCAGAGAGAGACCAGAGAGAGACCAGAGGGAGACCAGAGAGAGTTCAGAGAGAGACCAGAGGGAGACCAGAGAGACGAGAGAGAGACCGGACAGAGACCAGAGGGAGACCAGAGAGAGACCAGAGGGAGACCAGAGAGAGACCAGAGAGACGAGAGAGAGACCGGACAGAGACCAGAGGGAGACCAGAGGGAGACCAGAGACTGACCAGAGGAAGACCAGAGGGAGACCAGAGATAGACCAGAGAGACGAGAGAGAGACCGGACAGAGACCAGAGGGAGACCAGAGGGAGACCAGAGACTGACCAGAGGGAGACCAGAGAGAGACCAGAGGGAGACCAGAGAGAGACCAGAGAGAGACCAGAGGGAGATCAGAGAGAGATCAGAGAGAGACCAGAGAGAGACCAGAGGGAGACCAGAGACAGACCAGAGGGAGACCAGAGGAAGATCAGAGAGAGACCAGAGAGACAAGAAAGAGACCATAGAGAGACCAGAGAGAGACCAGAAAGAGACCAGAGAGAGACCAGAGAGATTCCAGAGAGAGACCAGAGAGAGACCAGAGAGAGACCAGAGAGAGACCAGAGAGATTCCAGAGAGAGACCAGAGAGAGACCAGAGGGAGACCAGAGAGAGACCAGAGAGACAAGAAAGAGACCATAGAGAGACCAGAGAGAGACCAGAAAGAGACCAGAGAGAGAACAGAGAGACCAGAGAGAGACCAGAGAGAGACCAGAGAGAGACCAGAGAGAGACCAGAGAGAGATCAGAGAGAGATCAGAGAGAGACCAGAGAGAGACCAGAGGGAGACCAGAGAGAGACCAGAGAGAGACCAGAAAGAGACCAGAGAGAGACCAGAGAGAGACCAGAGAGAGTTCAGAGAGAGACTGGAGAGAGACCAGAGGGAGACCAGAGAGAGACTGGAGAGATTCCAGAGAGAGACCAGAAAGAGACCAGAGAGACCAGAGAGACCAGAGAGAGACCAGAGGGAGACCAGAGAGAGACCAGAGGGAGACCAGAGAGAGACCAGAGAGAGACCAGAGGGAGATCAGAGAGAGATCAGAGAGAGACCAGAGAGAGACCAGAGGGAGACCAAAGAGAGACCAGCAAGACCAGAGAGAAACCAGAGGGAGACCAGAGAGAGACCAGAGAGACAAGAAAGAGACCATAGAGAGACCAGAGAGAGACCAGAGAGACCAGAGAGAGACCAGAGAGAGACCAGAGAGAGACCAGAGGGAGATCAGAGAGAGATCAGAGAGAGACCAGAGAGAGACCAGAGGGAGACCAGAAAGACCAGAGAGAGACCAGAGAGAGACCAGAGGGAGACCAGAGAGAGACCAGAAAGACCAGAGAGAGACCAGAGGGAGACCAGAGAGAGACCAGAAAGACCAGAGAGAGACCAGAGAGAGACCAGAGAGAGACCAGAGAGAGACCAGAGAGAGACCAGAGAGAGACCAGAGGGAGATCAGAGAGAGATCAGAGAGAGACCAGAGAGAGACCAGAGGGAGACTGGAGAGATTCCAGAGAGAGACCAGAAAGAGACCAGAGAGAGACCAGAGAGAGACCAGAGAGAGACCAGAGGGAGACTGGAGAGATTCCAGAGAGAGACCAGAAAGAGACCAGAGAGACCAGAGAGAGACCAGAGAGAGACCAGAGAGAGACCAGGGGGAGACCAGAGGGAGACCAGAGAGAGACCAGAAAGACCAGAGAGAGACCAGAGGGAGACCATCCGAGAGACCAGAAAGACCAGAGAGAGACCAGAGGGAGACCAGAGAGAGACCAGAGAGAGACCAGGGAGAGACCAGAGAGAGACCAGAGGGAGACCAGAAAGAGACCAGAGAGACCATGTTGCTCCTTTTAGCCTGTGAGACAAAGGGACAGAGTTGTCACTGGCCTCAGACGGATGGGACCGCGGCCGGACCCCACATCGCGGCCTCAGACTCAGGGTCTTTGTGGGTCTAGTGACGGTCTCTCTGTGGGTCTCTGCTTCAGGGGCCCCAAACTCAGAGGCCTTTGTGGGTCTCTCTAGGGGTCCCTGCTTCATGGACCCCACATGTGAAAGGCCCTGTCACAGCAACCTGTGACGGACGACCTGAGAGAACAGTCTTTGTCCCGAGTCTGAGGTACAACCAGAGAGACATGGACCTGAACTACAGCCAGAGACCAGAGACCAGAGAGAGACCAGAGAGGGACCAGAGAGAGACCAGAGAGAGACCAGAGAGGGACCAGAGAGGGACCAGAGAGAGACCAAAGAGGGACCAGAAAGGGACCAGAGAGGGACCAGAGAGAGACCAGAGAGGGACCAGAGAGGGACCAGAGAGGGACCAGAGAGGGACCAGAGAGGGACATGGACCTGAACTACAGCCAGAGACCAGAGAGAGACTGGTCTCTCTCTGGTCTCGCTCCGGTCTCTCTCCGGTCTCTCTCCGGTCTCTCTCTCTCTGGTCTCTCTCTCTCAGGTCTCTCTCTGGTCTCTCTCTGGTCTCTCTCTGGTCTCTCTCTGGTCTCTCTCTCGGGGCTCTCTCAGGTCTCTCTCTGGTCTCTCTCTGGTCTCTGTGTGGTCTCTCACTGGTCTCTCTCTGGTCTCTCTCTCTCTGGTCTGTCTCTGGTCCCTCTCTGGTGTCTCTCAGGTCTCTTTCAGGTCTCTCTCAGGTCTCTCTCTGGTCTCTCTCAGGTCTCTCTCTGGTCTCGTTCTGGTCTCTCTCTGGTCTCGTTCTGGTCTCTCTCTGGTCTCGTTCTGGTCTCTCCTGCCTCTCTTTTCCTCCTGGACTCTTCTTCTCACATTCTCACTCACAGGCTGCACTTTGATCTGAACATGACAGTGTGACAGCTGACGAAGGCTTTAGAGCTCCCTCTCTCCCTCCCCCGTCTCCCTCCTCTGCTCCCCCCTCTCCCTCCCCCGTCTCCCCCTCTCCCTCCCTCCCCCGTCTCCCCCTCTCCCTCCCCCGTCTCCCCCTCTCCCTCCCCCCAGGGTGCAGCTGCATCACTTATTCATGTCCAGACGAATGATTTATTAAAACACACAGCGCTGGAATCAGACTGTAGCTGCGTCTCGTCAGCTCTCATGCCTCTCCTGGTCCCTGCTCTGCCTCACCTGGTCCCTCTGCCTCTCCTGGTCCCTGTGCTCTGCCTCACCTGGTCCCTCTGCCTCTCCTGGTCCCTGTGCTCTGCCTCACCTGGTCCCTTTGCCTCTCCTGGTCCCTGTGCTCTGCCTCTCCTGGTCCCTCTGCTCTGCCTCTCCTGGTCCCTCTGCTCTGCCTCTCCTGGTCCCTGTGCTCTGCCTCTCCTGGTCCCTCTGCCTCTCCTGGTACTTCTGCTCTGATTGGACAATACCAGGATTAGAATTGTCCATGTGCAGCCGCAGGAGGAGTGATTTAACCAGAGAGAGACCAGCGAGAGAGACCAGAGCGAGAGACCAGAGAGAGAGACCAGCGAGAGAGACCAGCAAGAGAGACCAGAGAGAGACCAGAGAGAGAGACCAGAGAGAGAGACCAGAGAGAGGCCAGAGCGAGAGACCAGAGAGAGACCAGCGAGAGAGACCAGAGAGAGACCAGCGAGAGAGACCAGCGAGAGAGACCAGAGAGAGGCCAGAGAGAGAGACCAGCGAGAGAGACCAGAGAGAGACCAGAGAGAGACCAGAGAGAGACCAGAGAGAGACCAGAGAGAGACCAGAGACAGACCAGAGACAGACCAGAGACAGACCAGAGACAGACCAGAGAGAGACCAGAGAGAGGTCTCTCTCTTATGATTGGCTGAGCGGAGGACATCTCCTTTAATCAGGTAAAAACCACATTTACAGCTCTCTTCATCTGAGCGTCGTAAAAGCAGCAATAAAAGCATCACTGAGACAGAGGGGGCGGAGCTACAGAAGGGGCGGAGCTACATGTCTCTGATGTCAGCCTGGATGGATCCAAACACAGCTGCAGGTCTGTGACCATGAGGAGCAGTGCTTGAGGAAAGAGAGAAAAGTTGCTCTGTTTTCAGTGTGAACCAGACCTGCCCAAACCTGCCCCATGGTCCTAACTACTCTGAGACTCATTACAGGACTCTCTCCACAGCGGGAGACCAGAGGAGACCAGAGGAGACCAGAGGAGACCAGAGAGACCAGAAAGACCAGAGAGACCTGAGAGACCAGCAATACCAACAAGACCAGAGAGACCAGAGAGACCAGCAAGACCTAAGAGACCAGAGAGAGACCAGCAAGGCCTGAGAGACCAGCAAGACCTGAGAGACCAGCAAGATATGAGAAACCAGAGGGAGACCAGCAAGACCTGAGAGAGACCAAAGAGACCAGAGAGGCCAGCAAGACCTGAGAGAGACCAAAGAGACCAGAGAGGCCAGCAAGACCTGAGACCAGAGAGAGACCAGAGAGGGTCACAGTTGCACAACACGTGAGGTCAGATGATCGCTAGTCCTCATTGTTCGTTGTACAGTCTGACAGCAGCAGGAATGAAAGACCTGCAGAACCTTTCTTTCACGGTGAGGGTAGATCAGTCTGTCGCTGGAGCTACTCTCCAGAGCAGTGTCCTGCAGGGGGCGACATGGTCCACATAGATGTTTGTCCTGCAGCACTGTGTCCAGGACTGAGCCGGACTTCCTGATGTTCCAGCTTCTTCTGTCCCTCTATGATGCTGCAGCAGACATCACTTTACAAGATGGTAGAGCCTCCTGAGGAGGTGGTTCTCCTTGGCCTCCTGCTGATGAGGAGGTGGTTCTCCTCCTTGGCCTCCTGCTGATGAGGAGGTGGTTCTCCTCCTTGGTCTCCTGCTGATGAGGAGGTAGTTCTCCTCCTTGGTCTCCTGCTGATGAGGAGGTGGTTCTCCTCCTTGGTCTCCTGCTGATGAGGAGGTAGTTCTCCTCCTTGGTCTCCTGCTGATGAGGAGGTGGTTCTCCTCCTTGGCCTCCTGCTGATGAGGAGGTGGTTCTCCTCCTTGGTCTCCTGCTGATGAGGAGGTGGTTCTCCTCCTTGGTCTCTTGCTGATGAGGAGGTAGTTCTCCTCCTTGGTCTCCTGCTGATGAGGAGGTGGTTCTCCTCCTTGGTCTCCTGCTGATGAGGAGGTAGTTCTCCTCCTTGGACTCCTGCTGATGAGGAGGTGGTTCTCCTCCTTGGTCTCCTGCTGATGAGGAGGTGGTTCTCCTCCTTGGTCTCCTGCTGATGAGGAGATGGTTCTCCTTGGTCTCCTGCTGATGAGGAGGTGGTTCTCCTTGGTCTCCTCCTGCTGATGAGGAGGTGGTTCTCTTCCTTGGTCTCCTGCTGATGAGGAGTTGGTTCTCCTCCTTGGTCTCCTGCTGATGAGGAGGTGGTTCTCTTCCTTGGTCTCCTGCTGATGAGGAGTTGGTTCTCCTCCTTGGTCTCCTGCTGATGAGGAAGTGGTTCTCCTCCTTGGTCTCCTGCTGATGAGGAGGTGGTTCTCCTTGGTCTCCTGCTGATAAGGAGATGGTTCTCCTTGGTCTCCTGCTGATAAGGAGGTGGTTCTCCTCCTTGGTCTCCTCCTGCTGATGAGGAGGTGGTTCTCCTCCTTGGTCTCCTGTTGATGAGGAGGTGGTTCTGCTTGGTCTCCTGCTGATGAGGAGATGGTTCTCCTTGGTCTCCTGCTGATAAGGAGGTGGTTCTCCTCCTGCTGATGAGGAGGTGGTTCTCCTCCTTGGTCTCCTGCTGATGAGGAGGTGGTTCTCCTCCTTGGTCTCCTGCTGATAAGGAGGTGGTTCTCCTCCTGCTGATGAGGAGGTGGTTCTCCTCCTTGGTCTCCTGCTGTTGAGGAGGTGGTTCTCCTCCTTGGCCTCCTGCTGATGAGGAGGTGGTTCTCCTCCTTGGTATCCTGCTGATGAGAAGGTAGTTCTCCTCCTTGGTCTCCTGCTGATGAGGAGGTGGTTCTCCTCCTTGGTCTCCTGCTGATGAGGAGGTGGTTCTCCTTGGTGTCCTGCTGATAAGGAGATGGTTCTCCTTGGTCTCCTGCTGATAAGGAGGTGGTTATCCTCCTTGGTCTCCTCCTGCTGATGAGGAGGTGGTTCTCCTCCTTGGTCTCCTGTTGATGAGGAGGTGGTTCTCCTTGGTGTCCTGCTGATAAGGAGATGGTTCTCCTTGGTCTCCTGCTGATGAGGAGGTGGTTCTCCTCCTTGGTCTCCTGTTGATGAGGAGGTGGTTCTCCTTGGTCTCCTGCTGATGAGGAGATGGTTCTCCTTGGTCTCCTGCTGATAAGGAGGTGGTTCTCCTCCTGCTGATGAGGAGGTGGTTCTCCTCCTTGGTCTTCTGCTGATGAGGAGGTGGTTCTCCTCCTTGGTCTCCTGCTGATAAGGAGGTGGTTCTCCTCCTGCTGATGAGGAGGTGGTTCTCCTCCTTGGTCTCCTGCTGATGAGGAGGTGGTTCTCCTCCTTGGCCTCCTGCTGATGAGGAGGTGGTTCTCCTCCTTGGTATCCTGCTGATGAGAAGGTAGTTCTCCTCCTTGGTCTCCTGCTGATGAGGAGGTGGTTCTCCTCCTTGGTCTCCTGCTGATGAGGAGGTGGTTCTCCTTGGTGTCCTGCTGATAAGGAGATGGTTCTCCTTGGTCTCCTGCTGATAAGGAGGTGGTTATCCTCCTTGGTCTCCTCCTGCTGATGAGGAGGTGGTTCTCCTCCTTGGTCTCCTGTTGATGAGGAGGTGGTTCTCCTTGGTGTCCTGCTGATAAGGAGATGGTTCTCCTTGGTCTCCTGCTGATGAGGAGGTGGTTCTCCTCCTTGGTCTCCTGTTGATGAGGAGGTGGTTCTCCTTGGTGTCCTGCTGATAAGGAGATGGTTCTCCTTGGTCTCCTGCTGATGAGGAGGTGGTTCTCCTCCTTGGTCTCCTGATGATGAGGAGGAGATTAATCTCACATTCAGAGCTTTGAAAAATATCCGCGCTCAACAGGATTAAGGAGGAGATAAGGAGTGTGTGTGTGTGTGTGTGTGTGTGTGTGTGTGTGTGTGTGTGTGTGTGTGTGTGTGTGTGTGTGTGTGTGTGTGTGTGTGTGTGTGTGTGTGTGTGTGTGTGTGTGTGTGTGTGTGTGTGTGTGTGTGTGTGTGTGTGTGTGTGTGTGTGTGTGTGTGTGTGTGTGTGTGTGTGTGTGTGTGTGTGTGTGTGTGTGTGTGTGTGTGTGTGTGTGTGTGTGTGTGTGTGTGTGTGTGTGTGTGTGTGTGTGTGTGTGTGTGTGTGTGTGTGTGTGTGTGTGTGTGTGTGTGTGTGTATCTGCTGCTGAGACAACGTTTTTCAATTAAAAGATGAGAAGTTAACGAGGATCACTCTCCAGGTTCTTTAAAGCTGAGAGAGACCAGAGAGACCAGAGAGAGACCAGAGAGAGAGACCAGAGAGAGAGACCAGAGAGAGACCAGAGAGAGACCAGAGAGAGACCAGAGAGAGAGACCAGAAAGAGAGACCAGAGAGAGACCAGAGAGAGACCAGAGAGAGACCAGAGAGACACCAGAGAGAGACCAGAGAGAGACCAGAGAGAGACCAGAGAGAGACCAGAGAGAGACCAGAGGGAGGGAGGTTATAGCAGATTAGACATACTTCACACATATCTTTAGTGTTTGTGTATAAATCCAAACTCATTCTTTTACACAAAGCCCTTAGTCCCCACACGTCACACAAACCGGCGCAGCCTCACACACAGCTCCTATTAATCCCATTATGCAGATGAGCTCATGAATCACTCCCTGCTCATTCCTGTGGTGGAGGTGGGTCCTGTGCCGTGGTGCCAAACGCCGCAGGCAGTGAGGGGCCCCAGAGAGAGGGCCTGGGCAGTGAGGGGCCCCTGTGACAGCCCTCTGAGCCGGGGTCCACAGTTGAGTTTGTCCAACAGAGAGAAACATGCAGTGTTTGTCTCAGGAGCATGTGTCGACTTTAAAGGTCCCGTATATACATAATCCATATATATATATACATGACCCATATAAATAATCCATATATATACATTACTCATATATACATAACCCATGTACTGTATATATACACATAACCCAGAAAAATTACTCGATTTCATTTGTGACGTGATGAACCCGCCTCCAGTGGGTGATTGACAGCTGGGAGAAACAGAAACAGATCCATAGACTGTAGATATTAGTTTTGTCCCGCATACACCACCCATAGTCTTTTTGTGCAAGCATCATGTGACTAAAAAGTTAGCATCATGTGACTTAAGTGTTAGCATTGTGTGACATGTGTCCAAGCCCCAGTGATCCAAGATGGCGTCCTGTTCAAATGAATGGCTTGTGCTCAGTAGTTTATGGGACTTACAGGAGGACCTAGAGATTAGCAGAACTCTCCCATATTTGGGCATCGTCTGGTCCTTCCGGTTCTGTGCAGTGGACGAGCTCCCATGATGCTTTGTACCAAATACACGTGTGGCTCTCGTGCACGTGCACAGAGGGGCCCGGCCACGCTCTGACCAATCAGAGCTGATCAGAGCGGGAAGGAAACAAGCAGAGTTTGTGGCAGTAAAGTGTGGATTTAAAGAAAACAGAAGGATTTAAGAAGAAAAAAAGTTCAGGATGACAAGGGACATTAAAATCCCCACAAAATCCGACCTTTATGAAAGCTGCAAGTTCTCTGTCAGGTTCTCTGTCAGGTTCTCTGTATGTTCTCTGTCAGGTTCTCTGTCAGGTTCTCTGTATGTTCTCTGTCAGGTTCTCTGTCAGGTTCTCTCTCAGGTTCTCTGTCAGGTTCTCTGTCAGGTTCTCTGTCAGGTTCTCTCTCAGGTTCTCTGTCAGGTTCTCTGTCAGGTTCTCTGTCAGGTTCTCTGTAGGTTCTCTGTCAGGTTCTCTGTCAGCTGAGGTCGAGCTGTTTTAGTTTACATTGAGTTCTATGGGACTTTTTTCTGGGTAGCCCTCGTGAATTTAGTCTGCAGTTCCACAGCGCCCCCTGTGGCCATGGGTGGGACAGCTGTGAGCGAGTAATACTCTATCCAGTTATTATTATAGATCCATGCTTGGGGAACATGGATCCTGAAGTCCAGCCTGAATCTGAAATCTACGAATCTGTTTTCTCTGCGAGTGACACTTCACCAAAGACTGTTCCAGAACTACAGGTGCCACGACCCTGGACAAAGCTGATCTGGAAACCTGTGTTATTCCCACGAAAGAAGAGGCTAACGAGGAGCGTCGATCTGTGAGTGCAGTGATGCTAACTCTGTTTTCTGCTGTGGCTGAATAATTAGGTCTGATTCTGTGGAGGACATGAGGACTATGTGACGGATCAGGAAGAAGTTTATCCTCAGGTCTGACATGACTTGGTTCCGGCAAAAGCAAAAGGCATCCATCCTCCACAGTGTGTGCCTTTGCATTCCAATAAATGCGGAGACACATACAATACGATGGTATTTGTATATTTGACTGGGACCAGCCTGGTCTTACCGCACCATCGTACTCATTTCATTTCGTACTAAGGTCTAGATTTGCTCCATTGACTCCGTTAACAAGTGGGAGGGGTTAACTCCTTTTGCAGTTTTACCGTGACATATGTAATGAGCCCGAGTGAGTGAGACATTTAGCATTTAGCCTATCTTTAGCATTAGCCTAGCTTTAGCCATCTCCTTTGCCACTAACGGATCCACAACAATTTGCTTCAAAGACATTTACGAAACATTCCTCTTGCTCCGGCTTCAGTTTCTTGATATTTGGATTGAACCAGAACAGATTATTTTACTATCGCATTCTCCGACAAACTACAACCAGCAAATTCAGCACAAACTCTTGACGTCACCGACACCGACCTACAACACCCGCCTCCCCCGCTCTCTGATTGGTCAGAGAGGATTCAACCGAGGAAACTGCAGCCACTAGGATCAGACCCAGACGTACATGTAGGAAATGATCATGGACCAGAGTTTACACATGGTAAGACCAGACGTACATGTAGGAAATGATCATGGACCAGAGTTTACACATGGTAAGACCAGACGTACATGTAGGAAATGATCATGGACCAGAGTTTACACATGGTAAGACCAGACGTACATGTACAGTAGGAGATGATCATGGACCAGAGTTTACACATGGTAAGACCAGACGTACATGTAGGAAATGATCATGGACCAGAGTTTACACATGGTAAGACCAGACGTACATGTAGGAAATGACCATGGACCAGAGTTTACACATGGTAAGACCAGACGTACATGTAGGAAATGACCATGGACCAGAGTTTACACATGGTAAGACCAGACGTACATGTAGGAAATGACCATGGACCAGAGTTTACACATGGTAAGACCAGACGTACATGTAGGAAATGACCATGGACCAGAGTTTACACATGGTAAGACCAGACGTACATGTAGGAAATGACCATGGACCAGAGTTTACACATGGTAAGACCAGACGTACATGTAGGAAATGACCATGGACCAGAGTTTACACATGGTAAGACCAGACGTACATGTAGGAAATGATCATGGACCAGAGTTTACACATGGTAAGACCAGACGTACATGTAGGAAATGACCATGGACCAGAGTTTACACATGGTAAGACCAGACGTACATGTAGGAAATGACCATGGACCAGAGTTTACACATGGTAAGACCAGACGTACATGTAGGAAATGACCATGGACCAGAGTTTACACATGGTAAGACCAGACGTACATGTAGGAAATGACCATGGACCAGAGTTTACACATGGTAAGACCAGACGTACATGTAGGAAATGACATGGACCAGAGTTTACACATGGTAAGACCAGACGTACATGTAGGAATGATCATGGACCAGAGTTTACACATGGTAAGACCAGACGTAGATGTAGGAAATGATCATGGACCAGAGTTTACACATGGTAAGACCAGACGTACATGTAGGAAATGACCATGGACCAGAGTTTACACATGGTAAGACCAGACGTACATGTAGGAAATGACCATGGACCAGAGTTTACACATGGTAAGACCAGACGTACATGTAGGAAATGATCATGGACCAGAGTTTACACATGGTAAGACCAGACGTACATGTAGGAGATGATCATGGACCAGAGTTTACACATGGTAAGACCAGACGTACATGTAGGAAATGACCATGGACCAGAGTTTACACATGGTAAGACCAGACGTACATGTAGGAGATGATCATGGACCAGAGTTTACACATGGTAAGACCAGACGTACATGTAGGAAATGACCATGGACCAGAGTTTACACATGGTAAGACCAGACGTACATGTAGGAGATGATCATGGACCAGAGTTTACACATGGTAAGACCAGACGTACATGTAGGAAATGACCATGGACCAGAGTTTACACATGGTAAGACCAGACGTACATGTAGGAAATGACCATGGACCAGAGTTTACACATGGTAAGACCAGACGTACACGTAGGAAATGATCATGGACCAGAGTTTACACATGGTAAGACCAGACGTACATGTAGGAGATGATCATGGACCAGAGTTTACACATGGTAAGACCAGACGTACATGTAGGAAATGACCATGGACCAGAGTTTACACATGGTAAGACCAGAGTACGTACATGTAGAGAGTAGATGACATGGACAGAGTTTACACATGGTAAGACCAGACGTACATGTAGGAAATGACCATGGACCAGAGTTTACACATGGTAAGACCAGACGTACATGTAGGAAATGATCATGGACCAGAGTTTACACATGGTAAGACCAGACGTACATGTAGGAGATGATCATGGACCAGAGTTTACACATGGTAAGACCAGACGTACATGTAGGAAATGACCATGGACCAGAGTTTACACATGGTAAGACCAGACGTACATGTAGGAGATGATCATGGACCAGAGTTTACACATGGTAAGACCAGACGTACATGTAGGAGATGATCATGGACCAGAGTTTACACATGGTAAGACCAGACGTACATGTAGGAGATGATCATGGACCAGAGTTTACACATGGTAAGACCAGACGTACATGTAGGAGATGATCATGGACCAGAGTTTACACATGGTAAGACCAGACGTACATGTAGGAGATGATCATGGACCAGAGTTTACACATGGTAAGACCAGACGTACATGTAGGAGATGATCATGGACCAGAGTTTACACATGGTAAGACCAGACGTACATGTAGGAAATGATCATGGACCAGAGTTTACACATGGTAAGACCAGACGTACATGTAGGAAATGATCATGGACCAGAGTTTACACATGGTAAGACCAGACGTACATGTAGGAAATGATCATGGACTTCTCTACATATTGATCATTGTCTCTCTCTGGTCTCTCTCTCTGGTCTCTCTCTGGTCTCTCTCTCTGGTCTCTCTCTGGTCTCTCTCTGGTCTCTTTCTGGTCTCTCTGGTCTTTCTCTGGTCTCTCTCTGGTCTCTCTCTGGTCTCTCTCTCTGGTCTCTCTCTGCTCTCTCTGGTCTCTCTCTCTGGTCTCTCTCTGGTCTCTCTCTGGTCTCTCTCTCTGGTCTCTCTCTGGTCTCTCTCTGGTCTCTCTCTGGTCTCTCTGGTCTTTCTCTGGTCTCTCTCTGGTCTCTCTCTGGTCTCTCTCTCTGGTCTCTCTCTGCTCTCTCTCTGGTCTCTCTCTCTGGTCTCTCTCTGGTCTCTCTCTGGTCTCTTTCTGGTCTCTTTCTGGTCTCTCTGGTCTTTCTCTGGTCTCTCTCTGGTACCACATGTGTGTTTGGAGCCAGCTGGTGCGGTTATAACTGAATAAACCTGTGTGTGTGTGTGTGTGTGTGTGTGTGTGTGTGTGTGTGTGTGTGTGTGTGTGTGTGTGTGTGTGTGTGTGTGTGTGTGTGTGTGTGTGTGTGTGTGTGTGTGTGTGAACAGCTGTGTGTGCAGGTTCTCGGCCTCTCGGGGCCCTTCACGGCTGGTTAGGGCCCTGTGCTTCTATTAAAGCTGCTCTCCCTGGAGTCACATCTGACACACAGATTAGCATGTTTGTGTGCGTGTGTGTGTGTATTTCTATGTGTGTGTTTGTGTGCGTGTGTGTGTGTGTATTTGTATTTGTGTGTGTATTTGTATGTCTGTGCCCGAATGAATTCTCTTTCAGGAAAATATTATCCAATGTACCATGAACTGTATTTTGTTCCTCACTGTATACTCTCTCTGGTCTCTCTCTGGTCTCTCTCTGGTCTCTCTCTGGTCTCTCTCTCTGGTCTCTCTCTGGTCTCTCTCTGGTCTCTCTCTCTAGTCTTTCTCTAGTCTTTCTCTGGTCTCTCTCTGATCTCTCTCTGATCTCTCTCTGGTCCCTCTCTGGTCTCTCTCTGGTCTCTCTCTGGTCTCTCTCTGGTTTCTCTCTGGTCTCTCTCTGGTCTCTCTCTGGTCTCTCTCTGGTCTCTCTCTGGTCTCACTCTGGTCTCTCTCTGGTCTTTCTCTGGTCTCTCTCTGGTCTCTCTCTTGTCTCTCTCTGGTCTCTCTCTGGTCTCTCTCTGGTCTTTCTCTGGTCTCTCTCTGGTCTCTCTCTGGTCTCTCTCTGGTCTCTCTCTGGTCTCTCTCTGGTCTTTCTCTGGTCTCTCTCTGGTCTCTCTCTTGTCTCTCTCTGGTCTCTCTCTGGTCTCTCTCTGGTCTCTCTCTGGTCTCTCTCTGGTCTCTCTCTGGTCTCTCTCTGGTCTTTCTCTGGTCTCTCTCTCTAGTCTCTCTCTGGCCGTTCTCTGGTCTCACTCTGGTCTCACTCTGGTCTCTCTCTGGTCTCTCTCTCTAGTCTTTCTCTAGTCTTTCTCTGGTCTCTCTCTGATCTCTCTCTGATCTCTCTCTGGTCCCTCTCTGGTCTCACTCTGGTCTCTCTCTCTGGTCTCTCTCTGGTCTCTCTCTGGTCTCACTCTGGTCTCTCTCTGGTCTCTCTGGTCTCTCTCTGGTCTCTCTCTGGTCTCTCTCTGGTTTCTCTCTGGTCTCTCTCTGGTCTCTCTCTGGTCTCTCTCTGGTCTCTCTCTGGTCTCTCTCTGGTCTTTCTCTGGTCTCTCTCTGGTCTCTCTCTTGTCTCTCTCTGGTCTCACTCTGGTCTCTCTCTGGTCTTTCTCTGGTCTCTCTCTGGTCTCTCTCTGGTCTCTCTCTAGTCTCTCTCTGGTCTCACTCTGGTCTCACTCTGGTCTCACTCTGGTCTCTCTCTGGTCTCTCTCTGGTCTCTCTCTTGTCTCTGGTCTCACTCTGGTCTCTCTCTGGTCTTTCTCTGGTCTCTCTCTGGTCTCTCTCTGGTCTCTCTCTAGTCTCTCTCTGGTCTCACTCTGGTCTCACTCTGGTCTCACTCTGGTCTCTCTCTGGTCTCACTCTGGTCTCTCTCTGGTCTTTTTCTGGTCTCTCTCTGGTTTCTCTCTGGTCTCTGTCTGGTCTCTCTCTGGTCTCACTCTGGTCTCTCTCTGGTCTTTCTCTGGTCTCTCCCTGGTCTCTCTCTGGTCTCTCTCTGGTCTCACTCTGGTCTCTCTCTGGTCTCTCTCTGATCTCTCTCTGGTCTCTCTCTGGTCTCTCTCTGGTCTCTCTCTGGTCTCTTTCTGGTCTCACTCTGGTCTCACTCTGGTCTCTCTCTGGTCTTTCTCGTCTCTCTCTGGTCTCTCTCTGGTCTCTCTCTGGTCTCACTCTGGTCTCACTCTGGTCTCACTCTGGTCTCTCTCTGGTCTGTCTCTGGTCTCTCTCTGGTCTCTCTCTGGTCTCTCTCTGGTTTCTCTCTGGTCTCTCTCTGGTCTCACTCTGGTCTCTCTCTGGTCTTTCTCTGGTCTCTCTCTGGTCTCTCTCTGGTCTCTCTCTCTGGTCTCTCTCTGGTCTCTCTCTGGTTTCTCTCTGGTCTCTCTCTGGTCTCTCTCTCTGGTCTCTCTCTGGTCTTTCTCTGGTCTCTCTCTGGTCTCTCTCTGGTCTCTCTCTGGTCTTTCTCTGGTCTCTCTGGTCTCTCTCTGGTCTCTCTCTGGTCTCTCTCTGGTCTCTCTCTGGTTTTTCTCTGGTCTCTCTCTGGTCTCTCTCTGGTCTCTCTCTGGTCTCTCTGGTCTCTCTCTGGTCTCTCTCTGGTCTCTCTCTGGTTTCTCTCTGGTCTCTCTCTGGTCTCTCTCTGGTCTCTCTCTGGTCTCTCTCTGGTCTCTCTCTGGTCTTTCTCTGGTCTCTCTCTGGTCTCACTCTGGTCTCTCTCTGGTCTCTCTCTCTGGTCTCACTCTGGTCTCTCTCTGGTCTCTGCTGCAGTACGTCTATATTAACGATGCTTCTGTACATACGTAAGATGGCCGCCACTGTGAGAAAAGCAGATCTCATGGGTTTGACTTTATCATCAAAACAGACCAAGTAACTGTCATCATGGACCTGGATGTGGACTGAGGTCTACTCTACTCTACTCTACTCTACTCTAGTCTACTCTCGTCAAGTCTACACAACTCCAAACGTGTGTTGTTTATGACACCAAAGTTACAGACCTCAGCTTTAAACATGTCCGGCTTCGTGCGGCTGTTTTTAGCTCAGTGAAAGCATCCGTTTTCTCTGGGAACGGGAGAATGGGGGAGGAGAGGGGGGGGAGAGGGGGGTATCCGGTCTCTTTCTCACACACATCTGGAGCTGTTCAGTCTCAGAGGAAGAGTCCGGACCAGGAACCAGAGAGAGAGATCCAGGACTGAGGCTGTAGACCCAGGACTGAGGCTGTAGACCCAGGACTGAGGCTGTAGATCCAGGACTGAGGCTGTAGATCCAGGACTGAGGCTGTAGACCCAGGACTGAGGCTGCAGACCCAGGACTGAGGCTGTAGATCCAGGACTGAGGCTGTAGACCCAGGACTGAGGCTGTAGATCCAGGACTGAGGCTGTAGACTGTGGTTTTGATCTCTAGTGTCTTAATAAACAGTGTGTGAAAAGTCTTCCTGCTATCTCTTGTGCTGTTGCCACGGTAACATGTGCACATCCATTATTATTTATGTGAAAAGCTGATAACAATGTGTCGCCCACCAAGAGGGAAGAGAAACCAGAGAGAGACCAGAAAGATACCAGATGGAGCAGAGCAAGACCAGAGAGAGACCGGAGAGGGAGCAGAGAGAGAGACCAGAGAGAGAGACCAGAGAGAGACCAGAGAGAGACCAGAGAGAGAGACCAGAGAGAGACCAGAGAGAGACCAGAAAGATACCAGATGGAGCAGAGCGAGACCAGAGAGAGACCGGAGAGGGAGCAGAGAGAGACCAGAGAGAGACCAGAGAGAGACCAGAGAGAGAGACCAGAGAGAGACCAGAGAGACCAGAGAGAGAGACCAGAGAGAGACCAGAGAGAGACCAGAGAGAGACCAGAGAGAGAGACCAGAGAGACCAGAGAGAGAGACCAGAGAGAGACCAGAGAGAGACCAGAGAGAGACCAGAGAGAGACCAGAGAGAGAGACCAGAGAGAGAGACCAGAGAGAGACCAGAGAGAGAGACCAGAGAGAGAGACCAGAGAGAGAGACCAGAGAGAGAGACCAGAGAGAGACGAGAGAGAGACCAGAGAGAGACCAGAGGGAGACCAGAGAGAGAGAACAGAGAGAGACCAGAGAGAGAGACCAGAGTGAGACCAGAGAGAGAGACCAGAGAGAGAGACCAGAGAGAGAGACCAGAGAGAGAGACCAGAGAGAGAGACCAGAGTGAGACCAGAGAGAGAGACCAGCGAGAGACCAGAGAGAGAGACCAGAGAGAGACCAGAAAGAGAGACCAGAGAGATGCCAGAGAGAGACCAGAGAGAGACCAGAGAGAGACCAGAGAGAGAGACTAGAGTGAGACCTCTGCTGAGGAGGCTGTTTCAAAGAGCTTCCACTGCAGAAAATCTCTTTGATCTGTTTATGTAGAATATTGAGTTTGTGATGAAATATTTAAAAGTCTAAAAGTTTCTGCAGAACAAGAATCTGTGAGAGGACAAGGGAGGACCAGGGAGGAGGACCAGGGAGGACCAGGGAGGAGGACCAGGGAGGACCAGGGAGGAGGACCAGGGAGGACCAGGGAGGAGGACCTGGGAAGAGGACCAGGGAGGACCAGGGAGGAGGACCTGGGAAGAGGACCAGGGAGGACCAGGGAGGACCAGGGAGGAGGACCAGGGAGGACCAGGGAGGAGGACCAGGGAGGAGGACCAGGGAGGAGGACCAGGGAGGACCAGGGAGGAGGACCAGGGAGGACCAGGGAGGAGGACCAGGGAGGACCAGGGAGGACCAGGGAGGAGGACCAGGGAGGAGGACCAGGGAAGAGGACCAGGGAGGAGGACCAGGGAGGACCACTGAGGACCAGGGAGGACCACTGAGGACCAGGGAGGACCAGGGAGGACCAGGGAGGACGACCCGGCAGGAGGTGGGAGGAAGAGCAGACTAAGTCTCTGCAGGTCCTGTCAGCCCATGCAGTCCAGTCTCAGGTCCTTGAGTCCAGGTCCTTGAGTCCACACAGTCCTCATTGTTGACTCAGTGTAATTAATTGGAGCAGGAGGGGCCCCCAGGGGCCAATGAGGAGACCGGCTCTTGGGCCAAACTACTGGAACCACAGAGGACTGACACAAGTCTCTTCAAATCCTCCTGGATCTTCTCTGTGTGAGCTCCCTCTGGAACTGATTACAGCTCTCCCCCACAGGGGGGAGGAGGGGGAGGGAGGGGAGGGAGGGGAGGGAGGGGAGGGAGGGGAGGGAGGGGGTGTGAACAGCAGCATCAGTGATAAGCAGCAGACTGCAGGGAATATAGAGCTAAACACAGTGAGTCCCACTGAGACTGAGACCGAGACTGAGACCAGAGAGAGACCAGAGAAGGACCAGAGAGAGACCAGAGAGAGACCAGAGAGAGACCAGAGACAGACCAGAGAGAGAGAGACCAGAGAGAGACCAGAGACAGACCAGAGAGAGACCAGAGAGAGACCAGGCCATAAATACATGATGTGAATCCGTTTAGAGCCAGGAGCTGGATCTATGGGTTTAATACCGAGTGTTGTGAAAGTTACGTCGCTCAGCTTTAGTTTCATAACTCAGGCCTTTTCAGTGAATGGAGGATGTTCCGGCTTCAACCTGCTGCTGCTGATTCACTGATGAGTCACTGATGGACCAAGAATAACAAGAGTCTGCCCACGACAGACCAGACCAGAACCAGGACTGGGACCAGGACCAGAACCAGGACTGGGACCAGGATCAGGACTGGGACCAGAACCAGGACTGGGACCAGGACCAGGACTGGGACCAGGATCAGGACCAGGACCAGAACCAGGACTGGGACCAGGATCAGGACTGGGACCAGAACCAGGACTGGGACCAGGACCAGGACTGGGACCAGGATCAGGACCAGGACCAGAACCAGGACTGGGACCAGGATCAGGACTGGGACCAGAACCAGGACTGGGACCAGACCAGAACCAGGACCAGGATCAGGACCAGGACCAGAACCAGGACTGGGACCAGGACCAGGACCAGCACCAAAGGAACCAACTCACGAAAGTCATATCAAGGACAACCATAGGACAACATAGCATTAAAGCCGCAAGCGGCAATTACAGCCCTCGCTGCTCGTTGTCCGAGGCCCCAGTCTGATCAGACCATACCAGCTTTATTTAAAAAGCACTTAAAAAACTTTGCAGTTCAGCCAAAGTGCTGTACACAAAACCAAACACATAGACTAAAAATACATATATAAAACAATAATACCTAAGATCAGACATTATCAAAAGTGAAAACTGAAGTGACTTAAAACAGGCAGAGACTGAGCCTGTCTGGTCTCAATGGGACTGATTCCAAAGTCGTGGAACAGAAAAAGCTCGGTCACCACGAAGCTCACGCTGTGTCTTAGGGACCACCAGCCTCAGCTGATCTGCCTCAGGGCCCCAGAGGGAACATAGGGCAGAACAAGATCACAGAGGTAGGAGGGGCCAGACCGTTTAAACATTTAAAAGTAGATAAAAGAATTTTAAAATCAATTCTAAAACCCACAGAAGCCGGTGCAGAGATTTAAAACCGGTGTAACACGCTCACATCTGCGAGTTCCAGATAAAAGTCGAGCTGCAGAATTCTGGACGAGCTGCAGTCGAGAAAGTGCGTGTTGGCTCCGCCCTCAGTAAAGTGCATCACAATAATCTAACGGGGTTGTCACAAAAGCACAACAGTCTCAAAGTGCTGCTTTGTTAAAACAGGATTTATTTTTGCTTTGACGACAAAAAGTTTGCTTTGACGACTTTTGAAACCTGCTGGTCCAGTTTCAGGTTAGCGTCCATGCTAACACCCAGATTAGTCACTGCTGGCTTCATGGAGTCATTAAAACCCCAGGTCAGCAGAGGGAGAGAGGCCGCTACTCGGGCTGAAAACATTGACCTCAGTTTTCTCCTGGTTGAGGTTCAGAAAGTTTAAAGACATCCATGATTGTAGATCCTCCAAACAGTCCGAGAGAGAGGCAGAATCATGTCCGTCACTGTCCTTCAGGGGTAAATACATTTGACAATCGTCTGCATGAAAATGAAAGCCAACATCATGCTTTCTCAGGATGGGTCCAAGCGGGAGCATAATGAAAACAATAAACAATATCAAAGCATCATTAAAATATTCAGTGCGCCCCTAGTGGTCAACCATGGGACATGCACCCTCTGTCTAATGGTGCTTTCAGACCGCAAACGCTGAAACGCTGAAGCCCCGCTCCCCAGATGCACATTCTCTAGTTTTCAGACGCAGAGGTCTTCACACCAGAACGTCCTGACGCGAGCCGGAAGTACCGGAAGTACCGGAAGTACCGGAAGTACCGGAAGTAGCCGGCTCTGATGCTAACAGAGCTATGCTAGCGGCTTCTTGTGTACAGATCTTCTCCAATATTCAGCTTTGAAGCGTGTCTTTGCTCACAGACATTCCACGGGCTTTATATAACAGTAGTATGTGTTCACGGAGGTGACTTTATATAACAGCAGTATGTGTTCACGGTGACTTTATATAACAGCAGTATGTGTTCACGGTGACTTTATATAACAGCAGTATGTGTTCACGGTGACTTTATATAACAGCAGTATGTGTTCACGGTGACTTTATATAACAGCAGTGTGTGTTCACGGAGGTGACTTTATATAACAGCAGTATGTGTTCACGGAGGTGCGGCATAAGTTTTTTCATATTATGAAACGGTATTTCCGCATCGGTGAACACACTAGAAGCAGTTGCATAAGGTCACGGGAGCATGACAACCCATATGTTCACAAGCACACAGTCCCCCATTGTCAACCCTGGGTTGAGTTCTGGTGAAGCCTGGTGTGGGTCCTGTTTTGGCTGTTTACAGTATGTTCAGTCTGCTCGCTCAGTCCGCTAATGTCCCCGTGACCACTTTGCTGCTCTCTGATTGGTTGTCGCACGAACGTCCCACGAACGTCCCAAGGAAAGGATGAGCAGAATCCATCTCCTGTGGGCGTCGATTTTTCGCTCCTGCTCCTCCCTTTGACTTTCCCGCCAAGTCTGTGTGTGTCTACAGAACAGTCCGTGTGTGTCTACTGAACAGTCTGTGCGTGTCTACAGAACAGTCCGTGTGTGTCTACTGAACAGTCCGTGTGTGTCTACTGAACCGTCCGTGTGTGTCTACTGAACAGGCCGTGCGTGTCTACTGAACAGTCCGTGTGTGTCTACTGAACAGGCGTGCGTGTCTACTGAACAGTCCGTGTGTGTCTACTGAACAGTCCGTGTGTGTCTACTGAACAGGCCGTGTGTGTCTACTGAAAGTCCGTGTGTGTCTACTGAACAGGCCGTGCGTGTCTACTGAACCGTCCGTGTGTGTCTACTGAACAGGCCGTGCGTGTCTACTGAACAGTCCGTGTGTGTCTACGAACAGTCCGTGTGTGTCTACTGAACAGTCCGTGTGTGTCTACTGAACAGTCCGTGTGTGTCTACTGAACGTCCGTGTGTGTCTACTGAACGTCCGTGTGTGTCTACTGAACTGGTTATGACGTCCGTGTGTGTCTACTGAACAGTCCGTGTGTGTCTACTGAACCGTCCGTGTGTGTCTACTGAACCGTCCGTGTGTGTCTACTGAACAGGCCGTGTGTGTCTACTGAACAGTCCGTGTGTGTCTACAGAACAGTCCGTGTGTGTCTACTGAACAGTCCGTGTGTGTCTACTGAACAGTCCGTGTGTGTCTACTGAACAGTCCGTGTGTGTCTACTGAACAGTCCGTGTGTGTCTACAGAACAGTCCGTGTGTGTCTACAGAACAGTCCGTGTGTGTCTACTGAACAGTCCGTGCGTGTCTACTGAACAGTCCGTGTGTGTCTACTGAACAGTCCGTGTGTGTCTACTGAACCGTCCGTGTGTGTCTACTGAACAGTCCGTGTGTGTCTACTGAACCGTCCGTGTGTGTCTACTGAACCGTCCGTGTGTGTCTACTGAACAGTCCGTGTGTGTCTACTGAACAGTCCGTGTGTGTCTACAGAACAGTCCGTGTGTGTCTACTGAACAGTCCGTGTGTGTCTACTGAACAGTCCGTGTGTGTCTACTGAACAGTCCGTGTGTGTCTACTGAACAGTCCGTGTGTGTCTACTGAACAGTCCGTGTGTGTCTACTGAACAGTCCGTGTGTGTCTACAGAACAGTCCGTGCGTGTCTACTGAACAGTCCGTGTGTGTCTACTGAACAGTCCGTGTGTGTCTACAGAACAGTCCGTGCGTGTCTACTGAACAGTCCGTGTGTGTCTACTGAACAGGCCGTGCGTGTCTACAGAACAGTCCGTGTGTGTCTACTGAACAGTCCGTGCGTGTCTACTGAACAGTCCGTGTGTGTCTACTGAACAGTCCGTGTGTGTCTACTGAACAGTCCGTGTGTGTCTACTGAACAGTCCGTGTGTGTCTACTGAACAGTCCGTGTGTGTCTACTGAACGTCGTCCGTGTGTGTCTACTGAACAGTCCGTGCGTGTCTACTGAACAGTCCGTGTGTGTCTACAGAACAGTCCGTGTGTGTCTACTGAACAGTCCGTGTGTGTCTACTGAACAGTCCGTGCGTGTCTACTGAACAGGCCGTGCGTGTCTACTGAACAGTCCGTGTGTGTCTACTGAACAGTCCGTGTGTGTCTACAGAACAGTCCGTGTGTGTCTACTGAACAGTCCGTGCGTGTCTACTGAACAGTCCGTGTGTGTCTACTGAACAGTCCGTGTGTGTCTACTGAACAGTCCGTGTGTGTCTACTGAACAGTCCGTGTGTGTCTACTGAACAGTCCGTGTGTGTCTACAGAACAGTCCGTGTGTGTCTACTGAACAGGCCGTGCGTGTCTACTGAACAGTCCGTGTGTGTCTACTGAACAGTCCGTGTGTGTCTACAGAACAGTCCGTGTGTGTCTACTGAACAGTCCGTGCGTGTCTACTGAACAGGCCGTGCGTGTCTACTGA